GAAATATAAATCAGCTTACACGCGAGATAATAGACAGGAGAGATTGAAAAGTTTGGTGACAGGTGTGTTAGTATGCCTTCTATCGAGCTGAAGAAGAAGGAATTTGATTTCCTTGGTGTCTGTAGTGATGCGTAGTAATGTTGCGGTTACTTCTGTGCAGGAGTTGTGCTCATCGTTGTGCCCTATAAGTAGTGTTGTGATCACAAAAATAAACTGATGAAAGTTGCGCTATGTGTGTGTGTGTGTATGTCCTTTCTTTGCGTATTCGTATTCAGTGCGCTCTTACCTTTCTTAAACACAGAATACCAATGTGCCTACATTTCCACCTTTGTTTAGTTGTATATTTCAAGGTGCTAAGCATTTTTTTTACACCTGCTGTCTCGAAAACTGAAAGAGCGGTATTTCTAAATAACATTAAAACATGCTGGTGTCACTTCATCTGCTTCCCGCTTTTGGGAAACTTTTTTTTTTTTTTCAAATTTCAAGGAACAAGTTCCTATTCCCACCAACTCTTACATTGTGATATTACCCTCCCCCCCCCCCCCCCATACCCGCGCTGCCGCCGATCCAATAGACCACGCGCCGTTGACACGCCGCAGTCGAAGGTGGAAACACCTGTGCATCGCCGCCAGCAATTTCGGTACTGGCGCACAGGTCTACTGAGATCCATGTGCCAATTGCTGGCATATAAAACATCTTGGGTTAGGCACGTACGGATGCACAGGAAGTTTTACTTAGCCGGTTTCGAGTGTCTGGGGTAGAATGGTCAAGTTGAAAGTAAGTATTAGGTGTTTTGTTGCAATTTCAGTGTTGTTGCGTCTTATTGTTATGCACTGCACATCCTTCCATCCGTCAAAGAGTCCATCTTCGCTTAGTGTCATGAGGTCTTCTTCGGATACTATGCCCTTCACTGTGTTCATGGTACGATGTGCACTTAATGATACGGGGATATTGCCAAAAGCTACGCGGTGTAAGAGTTTGTTGAACTGTTCTTTGTCTTGTAATTCGCGCAGAATATCCCGCTCACCATCTTTGTAGCCCATTTCCAATGGCAGTGATCCCACTGGGGACTGCCGATTTGGCGCAACTTTTGTAGCAGCAAAATTTTAGCTTTGGAGCATTTTGGAGCAGGTAATCGTGCAATTAGGAGCACCTTGGAGCAGTAAAATTTTACTTTTGGAGCATTTTGGAACAGGTAATCTTGCTATTAGAAGCACTTTACAGCAGTAAAATTTTAATTTTGGAGCAGGTAATCTTACTATTAGGAGTACTTTGGCATAGGCATATATTCATAATTAAGCACTTCGGAGAAGAAAGTGCCTCAAACACTTCGATATTAAATGGACGCTGACCTAGAACAAAGGATCTTTTTAGATTGAAAAAGGCTTCAAGAACTTTCAATCCGTTCTTTTCACCATCTCAGATTTATTAATTGTGGAGAAAATATTGGTAATACATTTATTTATAAATTATTCCTGAATTTTGCACTGAAATCTCTGCATGTGATATCACGAATTTCAATGTGTATTTTTCTCGCTTTACCGACATTCACTCAAAGTAATTTCCTGAGACTTAGTAGACTAAGTCTAGAGCTATCTCAAATGTCAGTTTACTTTGTTTTTAGTACTTAAGAGCTATGTAGGACTTAGTAAAAAAAACGTCAAAATTTATAAAGTCACGGGAATCCATGCATTATTGCAACTATGTGAAGCCACCCGAATTTTTTTTTTCGCACATTTTTTCCCTTACCAAGAAAGTTCTCATGGCAAGCATGGTGATTTTGGAATTATGAAAGCGTAATTTACTAATGTCCAATCTCACTATTTTGAACACGCTTAATTCTAACTTCCGGTTAATTATAACTGACACTGTTGTCCCGTCAAAGCTATGTGTATTCCAATGGGCAAAAACACCCCATAATTCCAACGTGCAAGCACTTGCGAGGGTTAATTCATCATACCGCACTCCAAAAATGCTCTCAGCACCACGTCCAATCCCATGGCAGCACCTCCGACACCTCAACGCTGTGCGCGAAGAAAAAAAAAGAGGGAAAGGAAAGGCTGGGGCGAAATATTTGCTCTCTCTCAAATGCCGATCTGGGACGCGCCTGTGCCACGCTTCTCCCTTTTCCGTTTCTACCACGTAGAGACCCTTCTTCTTTCAACGCCCCGCACGGAGAGAGAGGAAAAAAAAGTTGTCGGGGAGTGATGGTGATAGTGGTTAGATGAGGAAAGAGAAAGAAAGGGGCCCAATTTCTGCAGCCCGGTAAGGAGCACGGCACAGAGCCTTCACGAAGTGTTGGCTCTCTTGAATTCCGATCTGCGACACGCCGATGCCAGGCCGCCCTCTTTCCCGTCCATGACACCTAGAGGCCCTTCTTTCAATGCTGTGTGCGAAGAGAGTGAGATAAAAAGAAAGAAAGCTGCTGTGAAGTGCTGGTTATCTCTGAAACACCGATCTGCTTCTCTCCTTGTGGAAACGCTCGTCCTTTCTGGTCACGTGCCGGCCACGCTGCGGCTGCGGCGCAGAGGGTAGCACCGGAGACGCAGCCGTTGATGTCTCAACACCTAGTACATAAGTGTTAAAGGTCTGTTTTCAGGATGGTAAATACTCTCATTAGACTCGACCACTGTCTCCAGTAATTAAAACATTAATTAAACTTATTTAAGTACTTCCACAACTAGCCATTTTATGGTTTCTGACGTCGTGCCAGGGAAAGCATAAAACTGTTCAGCGAGCCACATGTGGCCAGGGGCCACATGTGGGCCACATGTTTTCGGGGTTCCGCAACATGTGGCCCACATGCCACAGGTTGCGGTACCCCGAGATGGACGGTTTGGTGCAGTTTGGCGCAATTTCCGTCGACTTGATCAGGTTGGCGCAGCAAATCTCGTGTGGCGCACTTGGCGCAGAAGTGGGACCCCTGCAATGGTGTCTTTTAGGCACTTGGCCAGAAGAAAAGGTGAGATTGCTATGCTTTGGTTGAGGATTGTTCGGAGTAAGGAACATGGTATTTTAAGAAAGTTTCAATGTTTTGGGAGAAAACCAGAGATGTGTCGGTGTGTGCCCTTTTGAGGACACGATCAGCTATGGGGTGTTCAGAGGTACCATTAAAAAGTGGCTTCTTGGGTAGCAGCACCTACCACCCACCACAGAGCCCAACAAGGGGACGCGGCAGAACATGTAAACAAGCCTGCACTACACCAGCAGTACGCCAGCAGTACATAGTTGCTATAACCGAATATGGTTGACCCTGGGAAGGATGGCCACACAAAGTTAATCCTAGCTACCAGGAAACAATGAAGTAAATGGAAAAGAGAAAAAGACAGGATAGATATAAAGACGAGAAAAAGACGAAGATGTAAAAAGAGAGAGACGGGGAAAAAAAGTCAGGCCTGCGCGGAAGGCAGAGCACAGTCACAGGGAAATGTAAGATAGCAGCCTTTCAGGGCCTTTTCTAACCACTCATTCAGTAACTGCTGCAAGCACATTTTCTTGATGCCCACTACGGCATTAATATTAAACATTTTAGGGTAGCAGGCCGGCATTCACTATGCTATTTTTCTCATCCTTCTGAGAAGTGTGGTATCCGCTAAACTATTGCAAGGAATTTTGTGCCAATTATTCATACAGTGGCTGACAATGATGAGGAATTATGCTTGAAGCGGGTATGTGCCACAGCTAATAGCTGAACAAAAAAAGCTTTTGTAATGGGTTCGAGCATTGCACAATCCACTCATTCTGCTATTCGCATTGTCTAACGACTGCTTGTTCTTTTTGCGGTTTTAAAATGCTTTATAAGTCATATTACCGCAATTGCTTTCCTGACATCAAGCCTGCCTAAGGAAAGTTTGCCAACAAGTGCCCAGCACCAATGTGGCTCAGCGGTAGAATACTGGGCTGGCACCCAGTGGACCCGGGTTCAAGCCCTGCTGTGTCATTGGTACTAGGTTTGTTTTACCAATTTCGCGCAATTTGGTTATGGATGCACGCAATGGGGGTGGTGGACACTACGGTGCTGCGCGAGACCCGAGCTGTGGTATCATAACTACTTTCGCCTGTAAAAGGCGACTGCCGATTTCCCCTGGGTTGGTCAGCCCACGGGTGCTGTCCACTGGTACTTTGATAGTCGAACCATCAATGAGCAAAGCTTTGCTACTCTTCCCGATCAAGCGCTCATTCGGCATCAGATCTCTCGGGATGGTTGCAGTGTTACTGCCTGTATCTCGAAGCACTTTGACTCAATACTGGCATTCCTTGCCAATGGGGGTGGTGGACAACTACGGCGCTGCGCGAGACCCGAGCTGTGGTATCATAACTACTTTCGCCTGTAAAAGGCGACTGCCGATTTTCCCTGGGTTGGTCAGCCCACGGGTGCTGTCCACTGGTACTTTGATAGTCGAACCATCAATGAGCAAAGCTTTGCTACTCTTCCCGATCAAGCGCTCATTCGGCATCAGATCTCTCGGGATGGTTGCAGTGTTACTGCCTGTATCTCGAAGCACTTTGACTCAATACTGGCATTCCTTGCCAATGGGGGTGGTGGACAACTACGGCGCTGCGCGAGACCCGAGCTGTGGTATCATAACTACTTTCGCCTGTAAAAGGCGACTGCCGATTTCCGCTGGGTTGGTCAGCCCACGGGTGCTGCCTGCGTGAATTAGGGGCCAAAGGGATGTGCTGCCTCTGCCAGGGCGCTTTAAAGGTCTAATCATCCAGTGTTGGCTCAATCTCCATGATCCCCTTTCCCCCGTACGGCTAGGCGTGGGAGGGAGTTAGAAAACCCCTGTTAGCTCGGGCCTGTGGTGTCGCTCCGCACCAAACTCCTACTTGCGCAGACGCACCTGCGGGGTCTTCGCACATGTTTTTAATACAGTTTCATAACTTTTGATACAGTTTCACTGAGATTCGTTGGCTGCTGAAGAACTTGTTTAGTTGCTTACTTCAGCTGCCTGACTACGACTGCAGTGCCACTCGACAAAGCCACACTTGGAACTCACGTGATGTCCTTGCGCACGGTGAGCAGCTTCTTCTCGGCGGCCTTCCTACGTTCCTCGGCCTCCTTTTGCTGGACGATGCGATCCATCTCTTCCAGGACACCCCGCTCCAAATCCGCCCCACTGAACACCGATATGCCAAGGTCCTGAAGCTCGGCTGTCTGCTCCATGTCAGTTCCATCAGATTCCGATGGACCGACCACTGCACTGCCATGCTCTCCAGCATCCAACACTTCCGCACCAACTGTACCAGAATCCATGCTGCATAGAAGGTGAAGGGTAAAAAATGTGTCTCCCAAAATGTGTAACGTGTACAAGATACACATTCAAAAATGTACTGGTGATTACAGTACTCCCTGAAGCAAAGTTTAAAGGGGAGTGACAACCAATGTTTATGGTACCTACTTTTTTGGCTCAATGGAAAACTTACGAGTCACAGTGTGTAATGATAGAATGGCGATGAGGAAAATACCGTGAAACAATAGTCATCACTATTTTCCTGCCACCAGCCAATATGAACTTGTACACACATGTGACAGACAAACCATGCTGCAAACAGTGAGCACAAGAGCGGTTCCCATTCAAGCACAGAGGTTTACTGCTCTTGCATGCCCTTCCCATGCATGCACCACAGCTCGACACAGTTCACTGGCATCCACTGAGGCAGTGCCACTTCTCACCATGCAACTTTTTTTGCCTCATAAGCAGCATGGAATCGAGCAGGGTTGCACAATAATACACATACTCTAACTTTCAAGACTAATTATGGGGGCGCATCACATCATACTAAATATTGTCATGGCGTCGTGACGTCGACAAAAGAATCAGGCTGTAGCTCAAAGATCACGCTGTTTCTTTTGCCCAACTTGTGGTTAGTCAACAAAAAGTCCGATTACAGCGAAGCACATTGGCACTGATAGCGGTTTATTTGGCCCAACTTGTGGTCGATCAACAAAAAGTCAGATTACAGCGATATACATTGGCACTTACAGTGGCGAACTGAGCTTCGGCCATCGATCAACTGATAAGCGGTGAAGCACGCCGGCATTTATACATGTGCCATCGAATATTCCAGCCTTATCACTGGTCGTTGCACAAGCCCCAAGACAATCTCCCCCACAATCTCAACAGAACGATCTACAATAATCACAAACCTTCTCGAACAATGAGGCGCACTTCGCACTGAGCCTTTCTGACAGGATTTGTGGGAAAAAAAACGAATGAAACAAGAGTGAAATAAAGAATGCGCGTGGTACTGGCTCCTTCTGAAAAAGTATCGCCTCAATGCTTAAAATAGAACACAGGGAAAAAATGCATGAATAACAAAATTACAACAATAAAGCAAGAAAGTACAATAATAAGTAAATAGAAGCAATAAAGCACAACAATTTAAAAGCAACAACAAAGAATACATTCCTTAGTTTCATTAATGCACATAAAACAGCGCATGACATGAACGACTTCAGGTCATGCGCGCTGCCGTTGAGAGTTCGTGATGCCGTCGGGGACAACCTCATAGTCGAGTGGCCTTAGATGTCGAACTACCCTGCACAATCTGAAGTACTGTGGTAGAAGTTTCTCACTGAGGCCACCTCAGCTTATCAACATCCATACCCAAATACGGTCGCTGGGCTGGTATTCCTTGAAGCTTCGTCGGAGATTGTAATGGCGGCAGTCGGTCGTCTGCTGATTTTTTAGGTGCAGGTGGGCGACTTGAAGAGATTCTTCAGCCCGGTGAAGGTAGATGGCGACATTTAGGATTTATTCATCAGCGATGTTTGGCAACATGGCATCAGCGACGTTGACGGGTCCCCAACCGACTTGTATGGCAACATCTGCGTCGTCTCCTGCACTTCCGTGTTGTACGTGAAGGTTACATATGGAAAAATGACGTCCCGTGTTTTGTGTTAAACATCGACGTATATGGCCAGCATGTCGGCAATGGTCTTGTTTAGCCGCTCGGTCAGGCCATTAGTCAGTGGGTGGTACGCTGTCATCTGGCAGTGGCTTGTCTGGCTATGTGCCAAGATCGCCCAAGTTAGGTCAGCAGTAAATGCCCTACCTCTGTCGTGATGAGGACCTCTGGGGCACCATGATGCAAGACGATGTTCACGATGAAGAACTTCGCTCTATCGGCGGCACTGCCTTTGGGCAACCCCCTTGTCTCGACGTAGCAGGTGATACAGTCAGTAGCTACGACAATCCATTTGTTTCTCGAAGTCGAGTTTCTGGGAAACGGCCCCAGTGCTCCATGCTAATTGGCCAAAACAGCCAGTGAGGTGGCTCACTGGCTGTTTGCTCCATAGCATTGACTGTCTTTGAGTAAATATTGAGTGACCGCCCTCTCTACAACCAAGATGTGGTCACAACAGGCATCTGTCACCATTATGTTTTTACCGAGAACTATACAAGCTTCCACCCAGTGAGGTCATTTTTGTGGACAGGTTTCCACATCGCTGAAAGTGAAGGCCTTTACTGTTCCAAGCTGCACACCACCACTTTTACAAAAGGGAAGAGGCAAATGTCAGCTATGAAGGTACGGGTTGTCCAGATACATGCAGGAAGAGTTACACGTTTGGTTTAGAAATATGCATATATTCCAGCTGCAAAATCGAATCTAATGACATTTAATCGAATAATTCGATACAACTTTCAAATAGCTGGCATTCCGTGTTTCGAATAACCCGATAGGACAAATGTTCAAAATGCATCAAAGGTCAATAGCAAACCTAGGTTAAGGTGAGCTGGCCAAAATAAATACTATTTCAGTAGGCCTTTCATTAAAGCTTTTCGTGGTATATGCTTGATAAAAACCAAGCGAATTTTATATTAGAGAAGAACCTGTACTTTGCGCACACAAAAACTGCATGAGAAAACTGTCAGGCCCTTCACAACCTTGACACCGAAATGAACCCTGCTACCGAAACTTCTTGTGTAGTTTCGTTGTGCATGCCGCAACAACTGTAAAACTTCCCATATCTGTGCCGCAAAAGCCCTCGGTGGTAGGCATGTGAAAAGTTGTTCATGTGGTGCAACCACCAGTGCCGCATCGCACCAGTCGTTCAGAACCATCACTCCAGTGCACTGAAAACGCTCCTTTAAATGGGCATCTGAAGGTTTGCGCGCCTGGAGCCCACATAACGATTAAGCACAAGATTACCATTGTAGACACAGCATCGTATCAGAAGCAGTCACCCATTGAGTTATGTGCTAGAGACACATAAGCATATTTGACTTTTTTTGTTCTTTCTTACATTTTTCAATATAATTCCTAGTATCCGACATTTCTATGCAAGATTCAAGATGGAATTTCACACGCCCCAAGTATGGTTCAATGCAAATGTGTGATTATAAAAGCTGTTCAGCCACATGAAGTGACCCATACTGAGAATGTAGCACCACTGGAAGGCGAAATCTCGAGCAAGTGCCCTTGCTTGGTCGCAGATTGAAGTTCGAGATGGCAGCGCAAGAGCTGCTTACAATATAGAATGCAAACCTGTGCTTTCAATGAAATGCTGTATTGAATACTCACTGTTTTTATTCGCCCTCTTGGATGAATGAAAAGAGTGCATGAAATAGTGAAAATGGTATGGGGATTGCTTCATTGGTACATATTTCAAAGTGTCCCGAAAATTAGATGTGGGCTCAGGATTGTATGGCATATAGTAGTTTAAAATGCACATTGCGTTCCCTTTCTTTAACACTGAAATAATTTGCTATTTTACATTGCCATGCAAATTTAATTATTTATAAATAATTTCAACCACCTGCTGAGGATTTTTGCCGGGGAAGCAAAAATAAGTACAGACAAACCAAATGAACAGGTACATCAAATGGCAGTGCCATCATTTAAAATCAAATGGCAGTGCCATAATTTAAAGACATGCCTGAATTTTTTTTTAATTGACAACCCTCACTTGCATATAACACAAAACTTGGTAATGCATTCCAAAGTTGTGGAAACACTTACTTTTTAGGAACCTGTAGGAAAAACACAAATTGACTGTGAAGAGCAGTTAAAAAATTGTTCAAAGAGTTCCGGGTGGGCCAAAAGCTTGATTGCATAAGAACGAATTGAAGTTCAAAAGCTTGATTGCATAAGAACGAATTGAAGGTGGGCTTGGTGGCTGTGCCACATTAGCACCCACTAATCCGCTCCACTTCGCCATGCAGGCTTTCATCCGAGCTGCCCTCCTGCTAGTGCTTGTTCCTCACCTGGATGCTGTTCAAGCGTGGCGGTACCGTCTTATCCACCAAATCTCTACGCCGGTGGGGCTCATGCCGCGTATCTGTGGGAGCTGCCAGGAGGCAACATATCAACAGTCTTTCCACAATCGCACCCGCACCCACTGGTCATCAATCTACCTTGGCTGGCCCCATCGCCAACGACAACCTTCACAGTGCCGCCTATAAAGCAGCCGCATGGATCTGCGCCGCTCTGTGGGCTTGGTGGCTGTGCCAAATTAGCACCCACTAATCTGCCCTGCTTCGCCATGCAGGTTGGTCCATCGTATCAATTATACTTCAAAAAAACAGTAATTACATGTTAGTACAGCTGCCGAGCCCGCAGTGTTTGATGTGTATCTGTTGCAATGTGTTCTCCACAATATATTATTGCTTGCGGGAGATATAGAAACTAACCCAGGATCAGAAACGGCAAGCATTCTCATTGAGCTGAAAAAGCTGTCTGCTGAACAGTCAGAGTTACTAACAGAAATAAAGGACATCGAAACCCAACTCCTTGCGAACAACGCTGCCATTTCTGACCTAAGCACACGTTTGGCTAGCATTGAGACGACCTGCCAACGTATTGAACCCTTGCGGAAGCAGCTGGAATCGATACAATCGGACATAGTTGTTTTGGCTAGTCGAATTGTAAGATTGCAAAACCGCCTTGACGAAGCTGAAAACTATTCAAGGTGTAACAACTTGTTGTTCCATGGCATTCCCTATGCTGACCCTAAAGAATCATTCGTGCGCTCCGAAGAAATAGGAATACAACCAGGCATCGCTCGGATTTATATACCATCTGATTCTTCTCGTCACCGAGAATCCGAAGAGACCATATTCTAAGGTGGGTGATCATTTTTTGAGATTTTTCGACCGAAAACCAGCCCCCACCAAGCAGCGTCTACTATTCCTACGATCGGCGCTCCGCGTCGACTGGGGCGGCCTCACGATTGCCAGGTCTCGAATATTCGCGTCATACAGGCCATAATCATCAATAATGGAGGTATCGCAGCAGAATGAAGACGCCACCC